TGTAAATTTTTACTAGGGCAATTACTCTAAAAATACTAAATATACACATGAAAATACCCAGGTGCACAACTACACATGCTGATCAACATTCCTGTAAAGTTTCATAACTCTAGGTCAAATTCTTCTTGAGTTATGTGCGACACAAGTTGAAAATTGCAAATTTTTACAAAGTTAAGGGCAACTAGAAATGTGTCCATAGGACATAGGTGCCCCCACACTCCACCGATTTGTCAATCTTATGTCTCTATAGGTCTTTTTTTTTCGCTGGATGTGCTCAAGTTGAAAACTAAAAATCGTTTATTAAGTAAAGGGCAAATACTACAAATACTGAATAAATCCACAAGAAAACCCCAAGGTGCTTAAGTACACATGTTGACCAACATTCTTGTAAACTTTCAGGCCTACAGGTCAAATACTTTTTGAGTTACGTGCAACACAAGTTGAATATTGTAAATTTTTACTAGGGCAATTACTCTAAAAATACTAAATATATCCACATGAAAATACCCAGGTGCTCAACTACACATGCTGATCAACATTCCTGTAAGGTTTCATGACTCTAGGTGAATTACTTTTTGAGCTACGTACGACACTAAAAGAGAACGGACGGACGGACGGACGGACGGAAGGAAGGAAGGAAGGAAGGACGGACGGACGGACAGACAAGGATAAATCTAAATGCCCCCCTATAGTGGGGGCACAATATCTCTTAAAATACTAAATAAATCCATACGAAAATACCCAGGTGCACAACTGGTCATGCTGATCAACATTCCTGTAAAGTTCTACGACTCTAGGTCAAATACTTTTTGAGTTACGTGCGACACAAAAAAAGGACGGACGGACAGAAGGACAGACGGACGTTCTAACGGGACGGTAAAAATGTGGCTAGCTACTCTGTTGTTCTCTCTATTGTTCTTTTTAGCCACACAAAAGAAAATAGCCACATAAAAGCATTATGGAATGGATGACATCAAAGATAAAGAAAAGTTACCTATTGTCCCTCTAGCCACATTTTTACTGTCTCGTGAGAGCGGATGGACGGACGGATGGACGGACAAGGGTAAATGTAAATGCCCCCCGCCCTTATAGTGGGGGCACAAAAAATTGTATTTTTAAGGAAAATTTTAAGTTCAAGGGGAGATAAATCTGAAAAATATTGTTGCTAGAGTTATGAACCTTGTCACATAAGGTGTGGTTAATGATATGAAACCTATATTTGAAGTTTGAAGTTGATACGTTAAGAAATGAAAAAAGTTAAAGTGAAAAATATTTTACTGCACAAAAACTTTAATCTGAAATATGGACGCCGACGCCGGGGCGAGTAGGACAGCTCTTCATATACTTCGTACAGTCGAGCTAAAAATGAGAGATTAGTAATGGTTCAGTTCTAAGACTGTCCCAATGATCAGCATGCTGTTTGATCATATATCAGTACAAGCAACCATGAAATTAAAAATTCTATAACATAAATTTTGTATGGTTTTATATTATAAATAAATTATGATGCTAAAATGAAGATTTATCAATTTTGTAAGTTCCAAAAAGCATTATCTATAACGATTTTACCGAATTTAATATTTTATGTAAATAAAGGGAGGTAATAAAAATTATTTTCTATAAAGTTTAAGGAAATTTTTTCAATAAGAAATGAATGCATATATTTTAATGATTACATATAATATGTACAAATTTAATATTTGCAGTACCTATTTAACATATTCTTCGATGTATAAGCATAATTTTATACATATATATAATTTCACTTAAGTGTGGTATACAACATACAGGATCTTTAAGAATATAAAATGACATATGCAAGCAACCTTTATTCAAATACCATTCTGTAGGGGTGTGGGGACCGAACAACTCCTGTTTATATACATGTATACAACAATTACAAGTACATTAGAAACAAGAGCACCGCATACAGGCGTGGCAATATACGCTGTTTTAAGTAAATAAAATTTAAAGTAATCAAAAATAATTTTTAAACAGAGAGGATACCCATTTACAACATTTGTCCAAAACATGTTTTATTCAATTATCAATATCAAGATTTATATTGATACATGCCAAAGAGCTATGCTTTTCAAGCATGAATACTTAGTGACAATTACGTATATATGCTACAGCTATCGCTGTGGAGTACAGACCCCAGAAATGTCATGAGTCATGCCCTTAAAAAAGTTCATATTATACCAGAAATTCAAAAGCACAAAATATAATTCCTAAAAAAATCCAAAAACCAAAATGCTATGCTCACAAATAATTTCCGTTTGTATTACCTCCCAATACCCCGCCAACAGACTGGGCACAGCCATTTTTTTAATATCAGTGGAATTATTTTTGGAACAATTGCAAGGTTCTGCTATGTAATAATATATGCTAAATAACTTAGCTCTGGGATTGTAACTTTACATAAGAATACATAATTATATGAAAATATGTTTTTATATCTATGTGACCCCAGGGGTAGGGCAAATACTGACAGAGGAGCATGTTTTATATAAAAAAAATTGATGTCAACAAGAAATACTGCATGCAAAATATCTAAGCTTTAACATAAATATAATATTTTTGGCTATATAAAAATTGTGATCTTATAACTTTCTTGATAAATTACCTTTAAAAATTGACATTTTATATGCCTCGTTTACAACTTATTGTTACTACGTGAATTTACATATCTTAAGTAACACCAGCTTCAATTAATACGCTGAGAAACTAAACATGTAAACAAATAGTAATTCAATGTAAGTTTATTTTCAATATATCAAGTAAATGCCAACCAGATATAAGTGAATTCATAAATACAAAAGCAAACAATACATTATTTGTATATTTATTATTATTGTTGTAGAAACCGAAAGTACAAAATGCCAAACTCATTGAGTCGCATTTGTTTAAAATTGTACATCAGTGGGCATATTTTAATAAACAAGAGCGATCAGTAATCACATGTGTCGCCTCATGATGGCCGATTTCATGTTGGGACAAATTTTGTGACAGACGGACAGACAGACGGACAGTGCACAACTAGACTAACAACTTTGTACTGATCATTCCTGTAAAATTTGGATAAAATTGCACCAGTAGTTTATGAGGAGTAGTCCGGACAAGCTTTTGTGTATCTGGCAACACACAGAAAAAAACACGTTTTTATCAAAGGGCCATAACTAGGCCAAAAATCATTCAACCGGAAAACCCGTGCAATATGCGCAAGGACTTGAGCTACAGATCAATCCTGTAAAGTTTCATTGAAATTGCATAAGTGGTATAAGAGAAGTAGTCTGGACAAACTTTAAAAATAAAAATTATTAAAGGGCCATAACTCAAACAAAAATCATTGAACCGGAAAATGCTGACAATATGTACAACTAGACTTGGTACTGATCATTCCTGTAAAGTTTGGATGAAATTGCACCAGTAGTTTATGAGGAGTAGTCCGGACAAGCTTTTGTGTATCTGGCAACACACAGAAAAAGAAACCTTTTTATCAAAGGGCCATAACTCGGCCAAAAATCATTCAACCGGAAAACCCGTGCAATATGCGCAAGGACTTGAGCTACAGATCAATCCTGTAAAGTTTCATTGAAATTGCATTAGTGGTATAAGAGAAGTAGTCCGGACAAACTTTAAAATTAAAAATTATTAAAGGGCCATAACTCTGACAAAAATCATTGAACCGGAAAATGCTGACAATATGCACAACTAGACTTGGTACTGATCATTCCTGTAAAGTTTGGATGAAATTGCACCAGTAGTTTATGAGGAGTAGTCCGGACAAGTTTTGTGACGGACGGACAGACAGACAGACGGACAGACGGACAGACAGACGACGGAGAAGTGATCCCTATATGTCGCCACTACTCCGTAGAGGCGACACAAAAATGGTTGTCAGACATATTTTCATTCATAATCGTACCAAAACAGACTTAATTTTCGTAATATTACACTCTGTTTATGTTTATTTCAATCCGTTTAAACTCCAAGGTTATTATAGATAATAGCCGAGGACGTTCCGCTTGATATTGATTTAAGAACTTTGAATGAGTCAGTGTGACCTTGACCTTGACCTGAGGTAGTCCAAAACTGTTTACTGCACATCATCTCAGTAGTATAAATATTTCTGCCAAATAGATTTAATTTCATACAAACCAGGGCAGACACAAAATTTTGAAACTGATACAAAACGACTAAGCGTGACCTTGAACTTGACCTGAGGAAGGTCAAACCTGCGCTCTGCACATCATCTCATTAAACAGTTTCAATTTCTTTCCACCGGTTAAAAAAATACAGACCGGACCCGAAAACTCCTATATAAGTCTATATAAATCAGTTAATTAATCCCCGGGGCGGGCCCAATTTTTAAGTTAGGAAGTCTGAACTTGTTTTCTGCACACCGCCTTAAGACCTGTTTGGTGTTGAAATGCATATACATATCCAAGCATTAACTAGAAACCGCATCGCTTTTAAATTGTGAAAGCTCGCTGATGATTGGCTGTGAAAGGTCACGTGTTGATGGCCTCCTATTGGTGCCCGGCAGATGACAATGCGTAGAGTTTATTAGGAGCTCATTTTAATCAGATTGAACCAATAAAATGATTTAACTAGAAAATCAGTTCGATTTTTAGGCACATGAAAATTTAACGAAAGATAAGCAACAACGTTGGTACTCCTGGGCGCAGTACCCTGCAAATATAATTAAAATGTGTTTTTTATATTCAGTCCGTTGTTTTAATTATCCATTAATTTATACAAGTTCAACAAGTTTATCAACTAGAAGCACGATGTCTTCCCATCAAGACTTCGGTCAAAGAAAAAAAATATCAAACCATAAGGACATAAAAGTAAAGTGTTCTGATAAATTGGAACATGTTTCAAGGTGATGTACACCGATATTGGAACTACGCGCGAACACTTTTTCAATTTCAAAAAAAAAAATGCAGATAACACATACAAAAGTTGACCATTACATTCCAATTGCAACTTCTAGGTTTAGGATAATGCCATCGAACACAGTATTAAGAATACATTTAACGATTGCGTTAATGTGGTCAAAACAAAACATGTAAAAAAAATAATAATTTAAATTCTGAGGTTTACTTCAATATATCGAATAAAAGTTCACCTAAATTTATAGATATAGAAGTAAACAGTACATTATTTATATACATATTATCTTGGTTGTATAAACTGAAAGTGCAGAATGTCTATGGAATGACATCAGTGGGCATTTTTAAATAGATTATGATTGTCAGACATATTTTCAATCATGATTTTACCGAAATAGACTTTATTTTCCTTTGGATGTCAAACAAATACATTCGTTACACATCATCAAAGATTACATCCTCTGTTTCTTTTTACATTTAAAACCACCTTCAATTCGTTTTAAGTCCAAGGTTATTATCAATAATAGCCGAGATCCGATTGCATTACATGCTTGATAAATTAATAAATGTACTTTCATATTTTGCATTTCAAAATCATAGGTAACATATACAAGTAAACTTTTTCTTTCACATTTATCTGAATGCACTGTAGATGACGAGACCAAAAACAATTGTAAGTATGAAATTGATAATGCTTGAACATAATGGCGACGATGAACCTGTCATACCATTTTCTACAAAAGTAGAAAACACCCTTGTAGGTCCCCCACTTCCGTCATATAACTTAATTGCAGCGACGTAAATGATAGATCCACTTTCCGGGATTAAGTCCAGATTCGCGACATTTTCAACGCCAGGAATATCCGCTAATCCGAGCAAAACGTGCACAGGATACGTCGTAGATCGTGCGTAATCGGTGGAAGGTGTGTCTACACCGACCACGTGGATTTGTCTATTTTTAATCAACCAGTCGATTGCATCTTCATGCCATCCAGGAAAATGAAAGGTACTTGAGTCATCAGGTGTTTGACTTCCGAACGTGAGCGTTTTGTTTGGGTATTTTGAGGTCCATCCAGAATTCATTATTACAACTGCTCCACTTGGAATCATTCCATTCCTGGTTTCCCAATCTTTCAAGTCATCGGTTATTACTCGGTAGTCGGGGTTTTTAGATACTTTTGTCTGTAATTTAAGTCATGTTTGAAAGGAAAAATTATTTTTGAATAAATGTGGAAAAGTCTTACATAATAAACAACAACTGTCGTTGGAAACAGACAAATGCCACCTATCATAAAAATACATACGTGAGTAGAGCTCTTTAACAAATAAAATAATATCTTATAAATAAAGTTAAGTACTGTATCGTCATAAAACTTTTTATGATAATTATGCAATGTTAGAGGTCTCAATTACATGATTGTAAATAATAAGATTTTTGCTTTGTTAATGTCTAACAATGTATTTAAATACGTGTTTTAAAAGTTAACGGTAATACTGTTCTGTACCTTTACATTAATTACAACTCCTGGGCCTACTAATTTTTCCATTGGAATTTGATGTTGTCTATTCTTTCCCTCAGCAAAGTGCGCAGGTGCGTCAAGATGAGTTCCTCCATGTTCTGCTGTTTGAAATGAGTTTGATTCATACCTGAAGAAGTGGAAGAACAAGAAGAGGTCAATGTTGATGATGAACACCACTAAATGTCACCCATTCTATATTTTTATTTGTACATACTGCAATATATCTCTACAGACTATATAATATTTGTTCAATAGACCGTCATTCTATAAACATGAACAGTCAAATTTCATTATCTCGAAGTCACCGGGAACGTCGAAATAAAGTATATAACAAAATGTCGAAGGAAATTCATAAGAGTTTATATCTAACAAAAAAGTATAAATAAAAAATAGGTATAATAAAAAAATAGGTAAAATGCTTAGATATTGTGAAAGAAAAGTGTGGATTAGATAGTAGAAATTGTACAAATTAACCTGTTAACAATTCAGATGTTAAACTAACTATGTAATATGCAAATCAGTAACGAAATACATTTCTGTCTATCAGACTTCCAGTAGGATACACTCTATATCACCCATTGTTAATTTTACTATTGTAACTGTATTCTAACGTACCATTCTCATGTACATAGCCTTTATTTTAGTAACTTTCATCGTGTTAAATTTTCGATATTCCTTATAGATTTCTACTTGATAACCCCGACATACTGACATGATGCTCTTACGGCGACCGTCTAAACCGGTTTTTCCCCACAAAAGCCGTAATCGTACAAGGAACCACGATGACTCTTTTTGACAAATTTGCAACCGGGATTCTACTGTGTTCGTTTAACACGGCGGTAAAAAGGTGTTACAGCGTTTATATGCGACAATACGGGGTCTTCAGTGCGTTCGTAGGGTGCGTCTACGACACTAAGGCAAATAAGACGTCCATATGGCGTCCTCATTGCAACTGCAAGGACATCCTGGAAACGCCATAGGCACAGTTAGAACTATTTGATCCTAAGGGTCGTCATAGAATCGCCAGGTACATGTCAAACAATTCATTAATGCTCGTATATACGGCACGTGTTTCGGTGTTCACAGAGTTTCAACCACGACATGGGGGCCTAAGGGTGTTTTAGTCCAGCGCGCATTGGGAAAGCCGTTCCTCGGCGTTTGTTTTGTGCATGTTTAGAAACGCCGATCTCAGTTTGACCCTACGACGAACGCATTAAGGCCGGTATGACGGGGTATTACTGATTTGCATAAGGTTTATTTGTTGTCTTAAAAATGCTATGAATGATCCTGTAATTTTGTTTAATGATTACCAATATCCATTTGCGCTTCTGTTACGGGAAAGCACAGTGAAGTTGTATTTGGGGTTTCCCGGCCAGTATATTGTACTTAAATCCTGTACATGAGTAAGGTCAACCACCTTGAAATCTACGGCATTCACAGGCTCCTCGTTAATGACTGATAACAGCATCAGCGTTAATATCAACGTAAAATGCATTGTCCTTCTCAAAATCTGAAAATAAAAAATGCGAAAATGCTTAGTACAATATTCTAGCAAATATTTGTATCCAAACATGGAACTTGAAATGGCGCCATTATATGTATAATTGTAATTTACACAACAGTGAAACCTTAAGCACACTAAATATCTTAACTGGTCTTTCCGTTTTTTTTTTTCAAATCTGGACAAAACCGTTCACTATTTGTTGAGAAATTTTAAAATAAGTACAGGTTTGCACTGGCCGAATGGTTAGAATCGGGTGTCTCCGGCAGGCTAATGGGTTAATCAATTTTACAACTACTGTATGTCACTGCACAATTTTAAACTAAATCACGTCTACTTCGAGTTAATGCTTAATGAGGGTCCATCCGCCCTTTCGGGCACAAAATGCAGCTTTCGCTGTCGAGTACGGACCCCGGACATGCCACCAGTCATGCCCTTAAAGAGTTAATTTTGAAGCACAAAGTGGTGATAATTTACCTCCATGCAATTTCCACGGAGTATTAGCCAAAGATATGAATTTTTGAGCCAAAAGTAGGTCACTGTACGGCGGTCAATGAGAACCTAAATGTACAGTAACCAGTGGCAATATGAAAAGGTAGCCCTTAAAATGGCTGTTGGTGCCAGCAAAAGGCCTGCCTTACAAGCCGTTTATCTGTACTAGGGGCTCACGCACCCTAGCACACCATCCTCGTCGTCTCAGCCTACTTTGTAGGGCCAGTCCCCGCGGCATTAGTCAGGACATCGGCAACTAACTTCATGCAAACTAAGTTACTAAACGTTACCCCGAGCTGTAGAGAACATGCGAACTTGCCGCCTTAAACGTAGCATTTGTCCTTCAATCCTCTGCCGATGCCCTGTGCCTTCTCAGCGACGTGCACGCTCCGAGGGGAAGAGAGAAGTCACGTCTACTTCCAGAACGAATTCGTAATAAATAATACTTTAAGTTGAATGAACTAAGTTTGTAATATATTACACACAGACTCGCAATTAATGATGCACTAATTTCGTTCATGTTTGACATTTAATAAGTCTCTTTATACTGAAAACATGTTTGACATTGTCAATTGAAATTTCTTTATTCTTAGAAAATCACCTGTATCTTTCTATCATTGAAAATCTTCCTTTTTTACAGAAGTAATGGTTGTAAACAAGCGTAACTACGCAGTTACACTCTAACTTATTTTAGTCATGTGTACTTTATGAGAAAATTGTCTCCATTTAGTTCAAGGATTTGAATTTCTAAAATTATAATTTAATACCCATTAGTAAAGGAAATGCACGCCTAGTACTGTTGCCTAATATAAAAAAACCTATTAAACTGTTTACATTGTGGTTGCTGAAAAAAGTTGTTTGCAACGAAACGTCTGCTTAACTAATATTCAATTTAGATGATTCAGTAAAATTTAAATATATTTGTGCATTAGACTCTAAAATTGAAAAGAAATATTTTTCGTAGGCGCGCATAGTTTTTTAAATATACGCTAATAAGGAAAAACATTTAAACAGCTTAAAATAAGCAATGGAGGATCGACTGTAACTGTTTAAGACGTTTTTTTTTTCTTGTTTTATTTTTGTTTGTTTGGTTTTTTTTAATCACGCAAGGTGTTTCAAATATAAAAGACGTTAGACAATAGATCAATGTATAAAATAAGGTATAAAATGATGGTTAAAAGAAAAGGCGAACTTTTAAATCAATCATAATAAGAAATATTGAAAAGCTGCGTCATTCTAACACAAAGAATTATGGCTCTTTTTTTTGGAAAAAAAAGAAGAAGAAAACATACACATTTCAAATGAAGTAAAACATTGTCTGTTGAAATTTTTTATAATTATTTTTCAAGTTTACAAAACAAGATACATACACCATTAAAACGGAAGCTGAGAAATTTTTGTTCAGACTGATTTTGTAGCTTTGATGAGCTACATAACCCAATTACTTCTGCTGAAGTGGAATTTATTATTCAGAAATTAAAGAATAACAAAGCCTGTGGCATGGAATATTTGATAAACGAATATTTTATAGAATGCTGTGATATACTCTCTTAAGTTTAATGCTATTCTAAATTCTGGACATTATCCAGTTGAATAGTCAAGTGGAGTTATCATGCCTATTTATAAAAAGGAACGACCCGTGTGACGTACTTGAATAATAAACACATTGCACTATCAAAATGTTTTAAGCGGTTAAGCTACTGTGTTATTTAGTAACGCGCAGTTCGATTGTCACACGGGTCGTTTACAATTAATGCTGTGTTTGTCTGAAATGCTATTGTACACAAAGTTTTAAAAGTGAATAATAGTTTGTATTGCTGTATGGTTAATATGAAAAGAGAATTTCATAGTGTTGATGTAAATAACATTTGGCTAAAATTGTGTAACTTAGGCATTGATGGCAAGCTATATGTATTCACAGGTTGTAGTTTGTGTTTAAAGTTGTAATTCATATTCGGAATTATTCGAATGTGCTGTAGGTCTACCCTGGCTTATAACTATATGATATAACTTTCATACTTATGTTATTTGCAGACGACATGATTATTTAGGCTATACAGTTAGTGACTGAACTTGCTTCAACACACTGAACAATTACTACAATATATCAAATGACAATGCAAAATGATCTGACAATTCACTTAAAGGTGAAACACTAAAATTATTTAAAAAACCGTTATGGTCATTTGTTGAGTCTTCATTTGTTATATCCATGTCAATACAAGTATCTTCATTTGCTCAAAACTCGTATAAAAATATAACATCATAATTACAAAGTGTTATTCACAAAGTCTTTATCACTGCTTTTAGATTTCGATAGGCCATTGATGTTCCATGAAAAAACCTTGGGTTCAGCCTCCGAAACCCCCTATTTCGCAGATGTGTGAACTTCAGACACACTTCCGGTGCAGTTTGATATCACCTTGATCAAAGGATTTTTAATATATGATTTTTTCGCATTTTTTTTCTTTTGCTGTATCTAAGATATAAACTTGAAACTTCATATGAATAGTGCACTAGGATGTCATTATGATTGAATGATTACCTTTTGTTATCATTTCATAGTGGAAATACTTATTATGCAATGAATATTTGAAATTTCACAAATAGGTAGATCTCATAGATACGCATTAATAATGAGAAATCATCCATTGTTAATAGAAATGTACCAATGCGCATGACCACCGGAAAACGACGGAAGGCAATGATAAAATTGCAATAGTACGATGGTGAAAATGTGGTGGTACGATCGTGAAACGCGATGGTACGATGGTGAAAACGCGATGGTATGATGATGAAAACACAATGGTGCGATAATGCGATGGTACGATGGTTAAAACGCATTGCTACGATGGTGAAGTCGCGAAGGTTGGTACGATGATGAAATCGCAATTTCACCATCGGGCAATCATGTTTTCATCATCGTACCATCGCGTTTTCACCATCGTAACATTGTGCATTTTGGGTAAAGGATGAAATAAACAAGAGGGCCATGATGGCCCTAGATCGCTCACCTGACTTATCAAACTCATCCAAACAATTACCTAGACAAGCATTCTGACCAAGTCTCATGACAGGTGAGTCAAAAATGTGACCACTACAGTATTAACAAGGATTATCCATATTTGAGCAGTGCGCCCTAGTTTTTTACCCAGGTGACACATATTCAAACTTGACCTAGAAATCATCAAAACAAACTTTCAGACCAATTTCCAGGATACTTGGATCAAAACAGTAGCAACTAGAGTGTTAACAAGATTTTTCTATTTTTAGCTCCGGTGACCTAGTTTCACATGCGATTTCGAACTCATCCAAGCAATTACCTAGACAAGCATCCTGACCAAGTTTGATGATAATTGAGTCGAAAATGTGACCACTAGAATGTTAACAAGGTTTTTCCATATTTGGGCGGTGTGACCTAGTTTTTCATCCAAGATGACCCATGTTCGATCTTGACTTAGAAATCATCAAAACAAACTTTCAGACCAATTAACAGAAAATTTGAATCACAACAGTAGCCACTAGAGTGTTAACAAGATTTTTCTATTTTTAGCTCCTGTGACCTGTTCAAACTCATCCGAGCTATCACCTAGACAAGCATCTTGACCAAGTTTGATGATGATTGATGCAAAAATGTGACCGCTAAAATGTTTACAAGGTTTTTCTATTTTTAGCTCGGGTGACCTACTTTTTCATCCGAGATGAGCCATGTTCGAACTCATCCAAGCTATCAACTAGATAAGCATCCTGACCAAGTTTGATGACGATTGATGCAAAAATGTGACCGCTAGAGTGTTAACAAGGTTTTTCTATTTATAGCTCCGGTGACCTAGTTTTTCATCCGAGATGACTCATATTCGAACTCATTCGAGCTATTATCTAAACAAGCATCCTGACAAAGTTTGATGATGATTGGGTCAAAAATGTGACCACTAGAGTGTTCACAAGGTTTTTCTATTTTTAGCTCCTGTGACCTAGTTTTTCATCAGAGATGACCCATGTTCGAACTCATCCAAGCAATTGACTAGACAAGCAATCTGACCAAGTTTGATGAAGATTGGTTCAAAAATGTGACCACTAGAGTGTTCACAAGGTTTTTCTATTTTTAGCTCCGGTGACCTACTTTTTCATCCGAGATGACCCATGTTCGAACTCATCCGAGCTATCACCTAGACAAACATCCTGACCAAGTTTGATGATGATTGGGTCAAAAATGTGACCGCTAGAGTGTTCACAAGGTTTTTCTATTTTTAGCTCTTGTGACCTGACCTAGTTTTTCATCCGAGATGAGCCATGTTCGAACTCATCCGAGCTTTCAACTAGATAAGCATCCTGACCAAGTTTGATGATGATTGAGGCAAAATGCGACCGCTAGAGTGTTCACAAGCAATTGTGGACGTACGACGGACGACGGACGGACGACGGACGACGGACATTCACCGATCCTAAAAGCTCACCCTGAGCAAGCTCAGGTGAGCTAAAAAAGCACGATTGTCCAAACAGAACACCGTAAGAATAACTTTTTCACCGCTAACCCTTAAGGTAGGTTATAGATTATTTTTCGTTTTTATTTAGCGGTGTTTATATATGGTCGGATGAGTCGCCTATATGTAATATTATTGATGCAGATCATTTTGATATAGTTGAACAATATATTTTTATTTAAAAAAATAGGTAAAGTTTTTCTGGCAGGTGATAATTGAAAATGTAGAGCTAGAAATAAAAATGATTATATTTTCTGTGATTTATCGATAACGAATGACCCCGACGGGCCTCATCCGATATTTTATGTAGCAGTTGCTCGATTTGTGTAGGTCAACGTGTGTGCGAAAAGCTAACGATGATTTTGCCACAGGCTCGTACACATATAATTGTTGTCAGACGTGCAGTACGCTAGATTATATCTTGCTTAAGTAAAGCATTTAATAATAAGTATAATACACGATTTTAGAATAAGTGAAGCGACCATGCATCACTTCAATTTTACGATTAAAGGCACTTCACCCGGTATTGATGAAACAATAATAAGACACCACTCCTTGGATGTAGTACAACGCTTACAAAAACAAAGTAAGCAATCATTGTGATAACAAAGAACTCTAAAGACATGATAAAAAGGCAGGTACCGGAACAAACGACAACATTTTCTCACTAACCAGATAGAATCAAAGCACAGAAGGCGCTGAATTTGTTTTGGTCTCAAAGGTGAATGTTGTGAGATTATAAACCAATTTGTATTTGTGTAGTGCCAGCAATGCTGTTTCCAGTGTTATAACTGTAGTAATAAGGTTAATTTCAACACTGATATTCAATTCAATATTTATTTGGCTTAAACAATTAAAAAAGGTGCTTTATCTGGGTTTTGAACTCCAGACCTCTCGCTTCCTAACCGAGCGTGTTACCCCTCGATCAAGGTGAAGCTTGAAGAAAACCACATTATTCTAAATTAAGCTTTATAACCCTTATTAATTTCACGGTAAACCTGTTGTTTATAACTAAATTAAACACCATTTATATAAAACTTCTCATTTTGACTTTTGCAGTTAACATTTATTGTTTCTTCATGTATATATAATCTCTTTGTTAAAGCATTATTTTTACTTCAGTTTCATGCCACATTTATACTTCTATACATGTACGAGTATATGTGTTTCTTTTTTTTTCTCACATTTTCTTTGTTATCATTGTAATGTATTTGTAGTTTGTATAGCATGTATCTCTTCATTCCTGGAGGAAATAAAGAACTGGAGGAATTTATCTTATCTTAATTTTTGAATGGGATGTTGATTGTAAGGATTTATTTAGACGTGGTATTATAGGAATTTTACCACGATTTAAACAGCAAAGTTACTAATTTTATTGAAATGCGCTCAGGCGAAACGTATTGGCAATATTAAAGAAAAATTAATAATGAGCGAGTAATCCGGAGTGAAACTACCAATACCATCATTTGATAAAATGATAAATCGACCGAATCTAGGTTTTTAACTTTGCAATAAAAAAATCTTATAAGAAGATGATACGTAAAAAGAAACGCAAATATAAAATTAAAATGGCAGGTGAACTCGTCCGTCTGAAAATTAATACTTCTCATTCTCCGTTCCCATTTGTTACAATGTAAAATACATGTTGAATTGAATTCAGTATTTGAATTGAACAAAATGATCTCCTTTTTTGGTTATTTAGCTAGTCATAATTGTATTCTTATTGTGATATTAGTGATTTTTGACTGTTAATTTTCTGTTTGTTTGTTTGTTATAACCAGTTGCATATTATATGCCTTGGTTTAATAAAAACTGAAACTGAAGTACAGTAAATCAAAAGATTTTTGAAGCATTTTAAAAACAATCAAGAGACTACTGACTCACACATTTCTACTGATGATTATTTTGAAGGATTATTTCTGATATTCAAACCACTTTTATCGACCATTTTAAACAAAGAGTTTTGGATTGCTTAAAACAACAAGAACTGTCGGAGGACAGTAACGCTCGACTATTCGAAAATTTGTCACAAGGGTGTTTCATTGAGTATAATAATGCTTACCTATATGAATACATAAAATTGTCCGAAAAGGTACAAACTCTTCAAGTTTCAATACATTCCCTTCAGTAGTTATGGAGAGACAAGCTTACATGCAAAAACTTTACCAAGAATTCATGAGTCGAAAAAGGGGCATAATTATGCAAAAAAAGCAAATCAGAGTTATGGGACTTGTACCAATCATCTTAGATAATCACAGAGACCAAGTGTGTGAAGTTTCAATCCATTCCCTTCAGTAGTTATGGAGATACCAGCTTACATGCAAAAACTTAACCAAGAATTTCTAAGTCGAAAAAGGGGCATAATTATGTTAAAAAGCAAATCAGAGTTATGGGACTTGTGCCAATCATCTTAGATAATCACAGAGAACAAGTGTGTGAAGTTTCAATCCATTCCCTTCAGTAGTTATGGAGATACCAGCTTACATGCAAAAACTTAACCAAGAATTTCTAAGTCGAAAAAGGGGCATAATTATGTAAAAAAGCAAATCAGAGTTATGGGACTTGTGGCAATTATCTTAGATAATCACAGAGAACAAGTGTGTGAAGTTTCAATCCATTCCCTTCAGTAGTTATGGAGAACCAAGAATTTCTAAGTCGAAAAAGGGGCATAATTATGTAAAAAAGCAAATCAGAGTTATGGGACTTGTGCCAATCATCTTAGATAATCACAGAGAACAAGTGTGTGAAGTTTCAATCAATTCCCTTCAGTAGTTATGGAGATAACAGCTTACATACAAAAACTTAACCAAGAATTTCTAAGTCGAAAAAGGGGCATAATTATGAAAAAAAGCAAATCAGAGTTATGGGACTTGTGCCAATCATCTTAGATAATCACAGAGAACAAGTGTGTGAAGTTTCAATCCATTCCCTTCAGTAGTTATGGAGATACCAGCTTACATACAAAAACTTAACCAAGAATTTCTAAGTCGAAAAAGGGGCATAATTATAAAAAAAAGCAAATCAGAGTTATGGGACTTGTGCCAATCATCTTAGATAATCACAGAGAACAAGTGTGTGAAGTTTCAATCCATTCCCTTCAGTAGTTATGGAGATACCAGCTTACATACAAAAACTTAACCAAGAATTTCTAAGTCGAAAAAGGGGCATAATTATGAAAAAAAGCAAATCAGAGTTATGGGACTTGTGCCAATCATCTTAGATAATCACAGAGAACAAGTGTGTGAAGTTTCAATCCATTCCCTTCAGTAGTTATGGAGATACCAGCTTACATACAAAAACTTAACCACAGGGACGCCGACGCCGACGCCGACGCCGACAAATGGGTGACTGCATTAGCTCGATTATTCTGCGAATAGTCGAGCTAAAAATTGCAAGCAGATTTAAACAACAATGATCATTTTTATTCTTATATGCAGTGTTTATTATGATTTAAAAATTCGATTAATTAGACGTTATTTTTATCATAGACCTAATATGTACAAATTCATAGATATGCTTAAGTCAAAAAAAACGTGACAACATGTTTTATATGTATTACTAGTAGTTTTCATGTATAAAGAGATACATGTAAATATTTAAAATTAAGTTAGTTTAAAAAAAAATTCTTCGTTTTAAAAGGTATATTTTTTACGGGTAAAACACTTGTCGGCCGATTAAAGCCAAATGCATTTTTTTCAACAAAATCTATTAAGTATGCAGAGTTTTATAATTATGCAGACAAGATGTATAACCTGTATCTTACCTTCGTTTAAATTGAATAATTTGTACTTCCACTATATATCAACACAACGACAACTACTGCTACTACACATGCAATTTAAGGTGTATATTTTTCTATCACTTTAAATGCATAAAGCCTACATCAACATTATCTAAGCCAAGAAATTATTCAATCGGAACCTCTCAGCGGTCAGTGTTATTTTTATTACCGTTAAAGTAACGACAGCTTGAGTGCGGGGGTTGATCAAATAGTTCGCAGACATACGCAATACGTCTACTAATATTAAATTTATTTTATTAGACACTAATTAGACAAAATTAAACAATTTAAACAGTTCAAAAGGAGCGGCCTAACTATTGGTAATAATTTTCGAAAGCCTTTTCGTTAATTTTCATAATCTATAACGATTTACTAATTGATTTTAAGGTATTATGACCCTAATGGGCACTATCAGGAACTAAAAAATTGACATCATAGGTCAGATGTATACCTTAAAGTACACCTGTATGCAAAATTTAAACAAAGTTTACCGAACGGAAATCAAGTTATGGCCACTTTTCTGAACTCGAGCTAGGATGTTATGAGGGCCTTTTTTAGAAATGAGGAACCTTTAAATAATCTGCAATAACATTCTAATGAAAAATGTTTTCCCATTAATGTTTGGTAAGAAACAAGTAGTACCATTCAGCTAACAATCCACGGAAGCAAAATTATGGTTTCTACTTAAAATTTAGGAAATCTGTATAAAAATGTTACCCTACCCCACCCATTTTTACCACGTGTCTGACCATTTTTCTACTTAGGGAGCCTTAGTTAAAAAATTCTTAAAATTTACCAAAATGAGTGCCTGTTTTCAAAGTTTCCCTAATTTTTAAAGAAGTATATTGGTTGATCTTGTAAAATATGAAATATTTTTACCGTCTAGTTTTGATTATATTACACTTTGAAAATATCAGGTACCATATTCACTGCGGTATACCGTACCCCGGATATTGCTCGATATTATGAGGACTTTCATCCCATTTCGCGACTTTGAACGGAGAACGAAGGTAAGTTCAACGACGATATTTTCCAAACTAATGGCTATTTCATTTATTTCAACGAGTTTTATATATCTACAGGTATTTTTGTAGCTGTAAAAGACGTAAAAGTATTACAGGTATTTGTAAAATTGATTAAACTACCTCTAAAGGATCTGCTGCTCACTAAGAAATACTGACCGCGATACTGTAGAATCGTTAGAAATTATTATATAACCAATATAAAAAAAACTGAATCGAGCAATTTTTTTATTCACAATCCAAGTATGCTTTGTCCAAATTTCAGGCAAAAAGTGTGAATGTACAAAAAGATACAGGCCAAAAAAGATACAAGAAAGTGTACCGAGTATTGATTTTAAGTGTACAGAGTATTGCAAAATAGCCCAACTTTAGTGTACAGTGTATTGCAAAACAAAATGAGCACATTAGTATGGAAAATCGATATTTTTGTCTAATTTTCACGTCTGTTTATCGATTCCATTACATTCTGCTGATAATGTTATGTTATATGATATTTATTCAAATATTCAGATTCAACAATGCATTTTCAGTGTTATTACTGTTCTTTTCCTACGGGCAAATACAGAGATTTAATTTCCCATTTTATTGAAAATCACGCTATAGATGAAATAAAGTGTGTGCAGGGTCGGAAGCATGGTCGGGAGCAGGGTAGAGCCATCAAAATTGACGATGAAAATCTTTAAATGCATGTCTCAAGAGAGACCCATCTCTGAAAAGAAGGAGAAGAAAAAACATATTTAGATAACATTTATAATAGGTTTTTACAGAAAAAACATATCGGCACACTAAGTAATATATTGGCCCGAGGGCTTATGCCGCCCAAGCATGCAGATATCGTCTTAACCTTTTACTGCATGAGCATATTGCGAAAAAAGCCTGTTTTCATTTCATTGATTTAAGCCTCTTTTACAAGTTCAAACTGCTATGAAACTATATAAAAAATGCTTCAATACTGATCAAACTGGGCACAAATGTTGGCTGGACCATAGTGTGAAGACTATGCTCAATTTTAAATTTCAAGTTACCATGACAACGGGGGACGTCTCAAAATTGCCAAAAATCTCTTTTTTGCGTTGTTTTTTTCCCATCAAAACTGATTTCAAGGTGCAGCAACTTCTCAATTGATTGAGATAAAGTCTAAGATTTTTGGCGTTGATTACATGGTACGTTTCAATCGACCTAAGGCCATTTTAGCCCCCCACCCCCCACAAGTCCCAAATCTTCTCGGCGATAAGAGGGACTACTGTCCCACTTCAAACCCTTAAACAGAAGGGGGCACACCCCCCGTTACACCCCCTTGATGTACCTTTTTAATGGGGGTGGGGGGGTGGTGGCGCCGAAAAAGTGATCACTATTTTGAACAACATTTCTCAAATTCAAAATTTCTAAAATAGCGCATGTTTTACACTATTTGAGGCCTCAAAAGGGGTGGGGTGTAAAGCCTTCAAATATGATAAACAAGAAAAAGGAAAGGAAAGGCGGCGTTCAATGAACGCACCCCCCCCCCCCCTACGACCCAGCAACACGAACCAGTGGCAATTAATGAGTCCAGGCGGACCCCAAACAAAAACAGGACAGCACAAGACAGCCCTAAAACACGCCTTTATGAGTTAAAAGGTATTTAGGAACATAACCTTCTTATTGCATCTGCTGCCCTTTATCATAATCTTATCAAAATCCATTATTCGATTTTTGAGCTGTACCCGCTCGGCAGCCATACGGTAACTGCTAATGACGTAACACATTTCATGCGTTGCTAGAGTGCAGGTACAAAATGACCGAAAGTTACCTTTATATGGATTTTTGGCACAGTAGGAAGTCGGTTGATAATAGATATTTGCACACATGCTCAATACCATCTAATATTGACAATCTTAAGGCAGCATTAATGCACTTTGGATGCTTTTTTACTATTTAAAGTAATATTTGCAATAATTATTAACAAATTCTGGAAAGATTGATCCTTCGATAGCAACGAGAACTTTGTAAACACAGAAAATTGCCGACTTCCTTCGACTAAGATTTTTCATGAGCAGGAATGAAAATCTGGATTATTTGCAGATGTTTCCAGTAAAGTACCTCCGTACTAGTGTTAATAAGTATACACAATTAGAAATATTTAAAATCAAATTTATGTGGTAAATACTCCGTGTTTACTACTTGCATTTACTATATTGATAACCAATACTCGTTACACTAAAAAGCAATACTCGTGACACCGGCGGGCAACTCCAACGCAATACTCGGTACACTGACATGTGTATTTATTCTCAAAAATCACTGTCATCTGGGGTTCTATTGTTGATTGAACATTTACATCATAAACATTATCATCATTATCACATTTCACTCGATTCAAGTTTTTCTTTTAAGGAAGTATATGCACAAAAAAAATCAAATTTTACTGATCCGAGCTCATTTATCACGTGAGCAAAGAGACGGATTGTACCTCCTAATCATATTTCAAAGCTATATCTCAACATTATTGGGGTATCAGCAACTAGAGAAATTATCGAAGTTTTTGTTTTTCTATAAAAATTTAATACAAACCAATTCCAAATGTCTAAATATCGTCACTGAACTTACCTCCTTTCTCGTTCAAAGTCGCGAAATGGGATGAAAGTCCTCATAATATCGAGCAATATCCGGGGTACGGTATACCGCAGTGATATGTATTAATAGATTTAGCATAACTTAGCCAATAAAAACCTATATAAATTAAAAATCAAAATTTAACACTTTTTTCTTTCCAAATGGGACATGAAAGATACTTAAATAATGTTAAAAGAAAAAAAGAAAGAAAAAAAAGTTGACCCTTCTGGGGATTGAACCCATGGCCCTCATTTTCAATGTACTTAACAGTAGTTCTAGCCTATTTGAATACTCTTCAAAGCGGAGGTTATGCATTAGGATGCTAATACCTTAATGAAATGAATGTTGTCAATACTTATATTAACTATTATACTAACGTCCCGATGGCTTAGTGGCAAGTATGATAGCAAAACAATCACAATGTCCTCAACTTTTTGGCTTGCAGCCACGGCTGCAAGCCATTTCATCTGGAAAACTTGTTCCGGTTATGTGGTTTCCTGCTTACATCTGTTGGTGCATGATTGAACGGGAAACCAGCTGCAATCGTGCCAAACGCAACTTTGCAGCCTTTTCCGTCAGTCTTCGGATTAATGATAATAGCCGATGTAGTTCCGATTGCAATCGTGACAAATCGGGCGATTCCGTCATACTGCGGAGTAATATTACGGAAATCTAAGCTATTTTAGTTACTTCGGTAATCCCAGTTTGTGTATATAAATAGGATTTCTATTTTTACTTGATTTATCGGTTTAAACCGTAATAAATTATAAACGAAATTGTTCCGTTTCATTTGTTTTTCAAGACGCAAAAGTTTGTTTCTTTTATAATTGTTTGTTTTGTCTGTATTAGTTTTATACAATAGAGAGAATGGTGACTGTAGTATTATTCCGTCTTCAAAGGGTGGTCCTGCTTACCAAATCACGCATGACGAGTTATATTTAGATCTACTGAACGCAATTCAACTTCTTGGTGAGGTAATCTAAAAATAGCCCATGCATATCATTAACCTTGCCACGTGCTGATCTATGTATCATAGTTGATACATGCTATTAATTGGTACCACGTAAAGAAGTATTCTACTGCACTGGACCACCTAGGGTTAATGAGATGAACATATGATCTTATCAGATGACCAAGCAGAACGCTAAAAGTATCCTATCAGAGTGGCCGCAGTTAATTTCTCTTAATTTATGTGTTTATGTGTTATTACTAGAATTAAGATTTATTCAATTATTCTTGTTAAATGGATTAATACAATTACTAAATAACTTTTGTAAAATGGATTAAATACCGGATTTATTTGTTCATAATTTTATTTAAAGTGACAATATTCTGGTTTTAACAATTGACTTCTGTTTTTGATTTGATTTTCAATTTATATTTTCCACATGGATTGCTACAAGAATGGGTAAAGTGTTCAGTTCCAGTAGGGAACTCCACTTTTCAAGAAGCCCAACAGTCGCTATATAACCAGTACAGTAGGTACTGAGGCGTACTGCGACGACCCCAGAGTTTGCGGACAGTAG